AAATATTTTTAATTAATTAGCTAAATACCTGATTTTTGTATTTTGTAAACTTAAAACCTGAATTTTGAATTGTTGAAACTTAAAATCTGATTTATGAATTCTTCTCTTATACATGTCCAGTTCCATGACTAATCAGACATATAATTAAGTCTCTATTTGGTAACCATTAAAAAAAGTATTTTTAGAAAAAATGAGTTTTGGAATGATGATTTGTTTTGGAGAATGTGTGGTTAAAAGTAAAAAAAAAATATTGAATTTACAGCCGAATATTTCATTATGAGAATGTGATTAAAAATGAGTTTAAGAAAAAAAAGTTATATTTTATTGATTGTCAAACATGAGTGAGATTTGATTATTATAAATTAAAATTGTGCTAGATGTATATCAAGTTTGATATTATGTGAATTAACAGATTTTTATACATTGATTTTAACAATACTCTTTTCAATCAATGGCCAAATTTTCTACACATGGGGAGATGTCAACGTTGATATCAACAAGGAATGTACAAAAAACATAATTCTATAAATTATTATTTGATTATACGATCTTATTGGTGATAGCCTATTAAGTAATCAAAGTATTAACTGGCTATATGTATGCTGTAGAAATGTCGCAGGAAATCTATAAAGTAGCTTTGAGAAGTTTGGTTGCGGCCTTTTACGTATATGTCACATAACTTTCTTTGGAGTACTATACTTTTTGATTAAACCGTTAAGACTTTTTTTTTTCCTAGTAAAGAATAATATCTTTTTGATAATTTTCATGTATTGATTTTAGTACAAATTCAGTACTCAATATTAAATAACACAATAAATGAAACATTATTACAAACACGTGTACAATATCCATTTTCCTCCAAACCACCAACCCGAAATGCAGTTTTGAATTTTTTTTTTTTTTATATGTGTTCCATGTCCAAAAAAATTGTAGCCCGTGCAAAAAATGCACCGAAATTCCTAGCCCTTAATTCAAACTCCCCTAATCTCTTCTTGACAAAGGCACGAAACGATTCAATTGTTTAGTGAACTTTTTCTTTTTTGACCATAATTCCAATGCCTAGACATATTACTTTATTCCCACGATCAAACAATTGTGCTGAAAATTATAATGCAACAAAATGTTTTGACTTTTTTGGAAGTTTACGAGTCATCGGCATGAATTTCTCCATACATCTTACATAATATTAAGCCAATAGTTGTTTGAAAACTCTAAGATTCATCAGTAACACATGTTATATCATAACAATTAGCGACGTATCATGAAAATTATTAGAATTTGGAAGTGACCCGAATTCGTTATTGAAGTAATTGAAGAATTCTAATTGAAGTACACGTCATGAAGAATTCAAATTTGAAATATTATTGGAGTCCTATGTCATGTTGAAATTTTATTTTGGAAGTCCATTGGTAGTTGAAATTTGTTGTGGACTCAATTTTATGGTATCCTACTTTATCAACAACTCTATTAGGTGGGTTTGGACAACCCCTAATTATTTTCTATAAATACTAGGCTCCTTTATACAATTTTATAATGTGATAAAATAGAATACTAGAATTAAAGGATCTATATCAACAACTCTATTAGGTGGGTTTGGACACCCCCTATTTATTTTCTATAAATACTAGGCTCCTTTATACAATTTTATAATGTGAGAAAATAGAATACTAGAATTATAGGATCTATTGTAATTTTTCTCTCTTCTCCATTATTCTTGAATCAATAAAATCTCTTAATTCCTCTATCATATTTTTATCTTCTTTATTCTTTTGTTTGATCAAATACTTCATTATTATTTACCGTATAATTTCAACATCTCAATCCGTTGGTTTGTTCCACAATAATGGGTATCAGAACTATTCTGGTATCTTGTTTGTTTTACAACAATTGGTATCAAAGCGTCATGTTCAGCAGTTCCGCAAGAGCGCAAATTTTAATTTGTTCGAGGTTTTTTTTTATTTGTGATGGCTTCCATGAAGTATGACATTTCGTTTTTTGATCGGAGCACTATATTTTCGCTATGGCAGGTTAAGATACATTCAGTACTCACACAATTGGATTTGGATGATGCGTTGCTGGGAATTGACAAGATGCCCGCAACTTTGACCACGGAGGAGAAATTACGGAAGGATAAGAAAATAGTTTCTCACATTCATCTTCAACTATCAAATACTATTCTTCAGGACGTTTTGAAGGAAAACTCAGTAGCTGCTTTATGGTTGAGGTTGGAGCAATTGTGCATGACTAAAAGTTTGACAAGCAAGTTGAACCTCAAACGGTGTTTATACTCTCATCGAATGGTAGAAGGAGGATCATTGGAATATCACCAACTGTATTTGAGGAGATCTTATTATGTTCGTTGCCCACTTTGTTTTCTTCATTTAGAGACACGATTTTGTATAGTCGAGGTACTCTCACTATAGAGGAAGTATATGATACTGTATATTCAAAAGAGAAGATGAAGAGAAGGTCTGGTTGCTCATGGTAGGGCTATCCGTAGGTCGGGTCGGTTCGGTTCTCTCGGTTCGGTTCTGAAGAGAACCAAACCGACCTAAAATTTTTGGGTATTTAATAAATGGAACTATCGGGTCCAAATATAATTATGGAACCATTCGGGTTCGGTTCGGTTCTATTCGGTTTTGTACCATAATTAATTTTTTTAATATTTACAGTAACACTACATAAATACAACTAATAACATTTCATTCGTAACTTTTACAAATTAACGTATCCTAATTCAAAAACATATAAATAACTAGCCGTCCTATAAGATTAATTCAATACATACAAATACCAAAAAGTAGATATTAATATTACAGCAATACTACATAAAGTAAATTCATTTGTTTCAAGCGGCCTGCCTGCATAAAAAATAAAAATAAATTATTTAGTTTCGATTGTTCGGTTCTTAGTCGAAACCCGACCCAAACCCATCGGTTCTCGATTCGGGTACCCGTTCGGGTATTTAACTTATGAAGAACCGCTCGGTTCGGTTTGGTTTGGTTCGGTTCAGGTTCGGTTCAATCCGGTTCGATTCAGTTCGGTTCGGTTCGGTTCTGGACTTTTGAACACCCCTAGCTCATGATAGTTCTGGAAGGGGCAAATCGAAATCTAAGTTCAGTAATCAAATTTGTAACTACTGCAAGAATAAGAGGCACTTAAAAAAGGATTACTACAAATTACAAAATAAAGAAAGGATGGCTACAACTAGATATTCGGATACTTCAGGCGATGCAGACCTCGTGGAGAACGTTGTAAGTGATGGGGAACTCTTAGCTATTTCTGACATTGAGTCTAAACCGGAAGATAATTTGATTCTTGATTCAGCATGTGTGTTTCATA